GTTGAGTTCTTAGCTCTACGGCTTGGTGAGGTGTTTCTCGGAAAGGTGTATGGTTGTGGGTCTCCTTCCTTAAGGAGGGTAGATTTCAAGGACGAAATCTTTTAAGGAGGGTAGATTGTAATGTTTGTAATTTATGCGCATGTGTATGTGTGTGGTGGAAAAGAAAAGTAAAAAGGAAAAGATTTTTTTTATTGGTGGGACCACTACTTAACCATTTTGTGGCCAAGAGACCATTTGGTCTCTCATTTTTTCTCTCCTTCCCGGCAACCCTCTTTTCCTCTCTCTGTATTCTCTTTTTTCTTTTTCTTTTCTCAAGCTTTCAAGCTTGATTCAAGTCCAACCGTAGGGAGTTTTTGGATGCTGTTTGCGGCAAATCGATGAACTCGGCAAGACCTTTACATTGATGTAAGCAATTCCTTGTTTGGCCACCCATGGGGATTTCAAAAAGCTAGGGATTTTTGGGGCTTTTCAATCCATGGGGGTAGGGGTTTCTAATTCATAAACTCTTGGATTTTGTGAGTCAATTCCTTATAATTTGTATTATTACATGATTAAATTGTGTATATTTCATGCAAACTTTGCTATGTGTTGTATATGAGATGTATTTACATGCTAAGTTAATATGTGATGAAGAAATATGTTTAAATGGCGATGTTTTCATGCCTATTGTGTTATAAGTGAGAAATTTTGTGACTAGAAAGCATGAGATATATTTCTAGAATTTTTCTTTTGAATTAAAGCATGTAATTTATGTGAATTAATTGATGTTGTATGAGAAAGCATGTTTAAGTTGTGAATTTCTATGCCTATTGTGTTGGATTTGCTAAATTTTCAATATAGAGAAATGTTAGTTATTATTAGAAATTTCCTACAAAGCTTGCTATATTGTGAACACGACTTGTATGGAATTGTGTAATAGCATGCTTATGTGAAATGAATTATGCTTTGTAAACTCGGTATGCTAAAATAATATTGAAGGGAAACATGAATTACCTATTTTAGAGATTTAATTTGCAAAGCATGTGTGAAATTCTATGGTTGAATTCACGATTAGGAGCATGAAGCATTCATGCATCCATTGGGAAAAGAAAATGGGAAAAATGTTTTGAAAGCAAATGAAATGATTTTGGGAAAATGTTTTGAAAAGTGTTTGCGCAAACCGGACGCCTAGGAGGCGCCTAGTGGTCCGTGGTGTTAGTGTAGTCTCGAGGGGAGTATGGTTGAGCTAGCTAGGCCGGATGCAACGCCTTGGAGGTGCCTTGTGGTCGTGGATAGTTAGCCAATCCTCCTCTCGTGATGCCATGGAGGTGCCTTGGGTCGGATTACACTAACGGTTTGGAAGTTGAAACGAAAATGTTTCGAAAATGGGGAGCGACATGAGCATGGCATTGCACTTCATTGGCATACATGGTGTATTTGTGACTTGGATGACATTTGTATTTATAATGGATGTTGTGGTTATGGTTTACATCCCCAGTATAGTATGATCCCATTCTCTTGTTTTCTATTCTATACGTGGATTCACGGGGTCATAAGAGGTATATCTTAGACATTTCCTACTGAGTTTATGCTCACCCCATCATTTTAACATTTTTCAGGTCACGAGAAGGAGGTGGCAGATGATGTTCCTCTACATGTTTTGATGGGTTAGTGAATTGTTTGACATATTTAGTAGCTATGATGTCATTTTATTATTATTATTATTATTATTATTTATAAAGCCTGGGATGACACGTATATTATGTATTGATATAAGAAAGAATGGTAATGCCCTTAGTTGACCTCGGGTCCGGATAAGAACCCGGTTAGCGATTCGGACCCTCGGATTCAGGTCGTTACATAAACCTAAACCCTCACCTCCTCTCAACGGTCATCGCCCTCGCCTCCTCTCATCGGTCGTCGCCCTCGCCTCATCTCAAGCTTCAGACTTCAGTCCTCGCCGATGCCTACATCTTCAGATCTTCTCATCCTCTCATCTTCTCTTCTCAAACAGTTTTTGGGATGTAATATTATAGACTTAACTATCAGTTTTATTTTATGTTTTCCGTATTCTGTATATATTTATATTTATATTTTTGTTATTGCTATTGTACTCTGTTAACTAATGGAAGTATGGAACACTGTTACACTACTGAACATTGAACAAGGGAAACTGTTACAACAATACAGTCTGTACAGGGGGAAAAAAAAAATCAAACTTATTCACGGTTCGGTTCCACCCTATACGGTTCCGGTTCCGACCGGAACCAAACCGTGTGCATCCCTAGTCGATGGTAAAGCACATTTAATATGTCTCACAGAAATTTAACTTTAATTCACAGTGTTTGTAGCTTCTGTGAAATATAATATTGAAAGTGGATACCGATAAAAAAAATAAATGAATTTTTACAAACAATGCTGCAAAGAAGAGAATTATGTTATTTTAAGAGTTAAACAAATCACAACTATAAATTTATCAATAGCATTATGAAATTTTAAACAAAGGTCCAAAACACATAAAATTATTCAAAAAAAGGATCAAAATTATATGGAACACTCACAAGATATCACTCTTTCCAAGTTAATTTCCGACGCTTTTTTATATGAGGGGATCAGGCAAAGACGAAGGAAATGCAATTTCTTTTAGATCATAGCGTATGTAATTGTATACTTTTCTGCAAACTACGTTCAACTTCATTTTGACTCTTGAATGACTGCAACACAATCTGTTACTACATAGTAAACCTACATTTTAAGCAATTCAATATGCTGATTAGTAAACCTTGATCATATAATGCTTGTAGTCTACAGATCTTCATTGTTCTCTTAGATGATGCATTAGAAAGAACCATTATAAAAAATAAAATTAAAAATTTTAAAATTAAAAAAAAAAAAAAAGAAAAAAAAAGGATCTCTTTTATGAAATGGAGTGTAAAGACGGTGACCTAGACTAAAGGGACCATCTAGCAGCGGTTTAAGAACAAGTCAACATTTTCAAAATTACCAAAGATGAAATAGATGAAATTTTCAAACCATGATAGTTTAACCCAAGTTTCTCAAAAAGTACAAAGGAACTACTTTAAAACTGGCTCATTGTCAGGAAATCTATTCAAAAATGTCAGCAACAAATGTACTTTTGCCTCATTTTCATTTGTTTCCCTGTTGTCCTGCAGGAAAGAGGGAAAATAATTGATTTTTTCTCTTCAAACCAGAATAAAATTTTCAAAAACAATATAAAATGGTTCCACCAACATTAATTTGTTTTAGGAGTATCCTAGATCTGGGTTTTATGTTCTTTTCTTCAAAAACTTGGGGGAACATACAGTGTAGGACCTAGAGTGGTTTAGTGAAGTGAATGTGAGTTAATGAGGACTCCAAACAGTGCCACATTGCTGGTAGCCAACAGGTATGGTACACAAGAAGTTGAAGATAAATGAATGTACATTAAAAAATTAACATGGACAGAAAAAATTTGATGTTGAATTTCCATATAGGCCACTGTTTTCAGACACCCATCTCTTCCTCTAATTTTCTTCATCTCAGTTTCATTTCTAAACCTTGATAACAAAATATTAGGGCTAGATTTACCTATTTGTCATGGGATTGGCTTAAATGGTCTATACTGCTGGAGTCCAAGGCCCAAATGACCGGAGACAGTGGAGCCCCGACCAGAGGTCTATTTCGGCCAAGTTTATTGGAGATGATAGCTTTTGCTAGTTTCAGAGGGAGAAAGAGCTGTATATGCAAGGAGATTGGATATCTGAGTCGGAATGTCTCTGACTTATAATCACTAGGTCGCAAACAATAGAGGGTCAGGAAGACTGAACCCATCAAAACATATTGAGTCTGAATGTCCTACGAATTCGTTCTTACAGAAGGTCAGGAAGACAATACCCATCAAACAAATTGCAGTCACCCGTAACCCATAGCTAAAATGAATGATAAACCTATAACAATGAATTCAATTTTTATTATACATTAAGCATGAAAATGAAGTTAATCAAGTATCTTCCCCCAATACAACATACCATCAAACCCATATACATATTAAACTAAACAACTGCTATCAGACCAATCAAAGATGAGAAACCATAAGTTTACAAATGAATAATTTTGAAATTCTGCAAACGATGAGAAGTACATATTAAGGAAAGAAAGAGTGATAGCAGTATGGAGAAATTAGGGTTTTGAAATCTTGCAAAAAAATTGAGAAGAATGAGAAAAAAAAAAAAAAAACATACCTTCGTTCAGTTAAGAGAGAGAGCATACCATTGTTCACCTGTGGGGGAGAGAGAACAATCTGAGATACCTTGGCTCAGTTGCTGGAGGGGGAACCAAGAGACGGTTCAACATGGTTATTTTTTTTTTTTTTTTAGGATAAAGTGCATTAAACTCCCTAAATTATACTCTCTTTTCTTAAAAAATCCCTTAACTTCTATTTTTACAATTAACACCTTAAACTATGTAAAATTTTGCAAAAATACCCACCAATGAAGTTTGGATTGATTTTCCCGGCTAAACAGGCCCGTGGAATCACATGTCATGTCTTTAAATTTATAATAACGAAACTACCCTTATTACCATTATAAGCTATTAAATATATAAAATCAAAATTCCCATTGATACATTCCAGAAAAGGAAAAAAGAAATCCAAATTGAAACCACCACCAAATTCAACCCCAAATCATGTATGTTGGAACCTAAGATTCATTCTCTACCAAATCGCCATCTCTCTTTATGGATCTTCACCGTTTGATTCTCTGCAAGCCACTCAACAATCACAAACCGAACCCTAAGTTTCATTCACAAACCCTAATTTTTGTTCTATAGCTCAAATTTCTTCGATTTAAGGCGAGAAAATGAAAGTGTTGTTGAACACTGGTTGTCCGAGGAAATTGGATTTCTGCAAATCGAGAAGCCGATAGGATTTCGACAGTTTGATGTGAGAGACGAAGCGATCTAATGGAAGCGTCAGCGTGGAAGTAGAGCGAGATGTTGAACAACGAATCGAATATAGTGCGATGAGGGATGGTGTTAATGAGGAGGTGGTCGTCGTCCTCATCGTCATTGATCCACTGTGGCCGTTATCGAAGGAATGCATTAAGGTACTAAGCTTCTTGGTCATCTCCTCCTCCTCCTATTGTGTATTTCTTCTCACACAAACATAATCACTGCTCACCGCCGTGTTTATTTGGCATCAATGGTGGAGTAATCGACAAACAAACCAATTAATGGCTTCACTCGCGCGGCACTACCGCACTGGTCGCGTTTGGTAATGAGATAAGGAGGTGTTGCGTGATAGAATTAGGTTTTGTTCTCTTTTTTTTTTTTTTCGGAAGGTGAGAAATTAGAATTAGGTTCAGGTAGTGATAAGGTGATGTGTTGTCCAATATATATCTTTATTGGCGTTTGAGCTTTTTTTTTTTTTTTACACCTCAGCATCAGAAGTTAATAAAGAATCCAAACAGGTCCTTCAACTAAAGGGTAAATTAGTAACTTTCTTTATTCGGTGCAGGAGACCCAACTGTTGTCCTTAAATGCGACTTTATCATAGTTTAGAAGGGCATTTGTTAATTCAAGGGAGTTTTGTGCAATTGGCTGAAAGCTTTGGGGAATTTTATGCACTTCACCTTTTTTTTTTTTTACGAACTGAGTGCAAAACGGCCTCGCACTAGGTTCTTTTAATTTATTTTCAGATTCGCACTCCTTTACGTGGCGCGTTGTCTGCCGGCAAATGACAACACGAGTACTGACGGCAAATGACAACACGAGTACTGACGTTCAAACTCATTTGTATCTACCCAATTAAAATATATATATATATATATATATATATATATTTTTTTTTTGTCTAATCCCCGGTGTGTCCAACTAAAAGGGGTTTTACCCGTTTGATGTTGTGGATAAATTCAAGGATGAGTCTTGGACTATTCCTTACATCAAAGAGATAAAAAAACATTCTTCAACTTCTGCTAAACAAGTAGGTATATATTGATATAGAAATCATTTTCCTTACCCCAAATATAGAGGAGTTGTCAGCTCGTTGCCTCTATATTCTATACATACATGAATCAAATTGAAAATAAAAAGGGGAACAAAATTGAGCCAGATCCAAAATAAATTGGGTCGGGTTCACTGTTACTCCTTTTTTTAGCAATGCTATCATGAGAGATCTCATGGTGAGCTTTCTTTTTCTAATCAATGAATTCAAAGATTGATTAAATAACTCATTTGACTTTTTACACATCTCAAAAGACTTTTAATTCAGTGATTCAATAAGAACTCATGCCTTTTATCATGAGAGGGCTCTCATGATAGCATCACTCTTTATTTTTGGTGAATAATCAAAATTACTTCGTACGAAATGAGTATGCGCATACTCTAAAGTTTCAATGGTTTTTGTAAGCATAATATAAACCAAATTTATACAAAGTGACTCTCTAACATGCACACAATTTATGCAAGGTAGTTCATGACATTCAGAAGCTAAATTTCAGTAGTAAACAAAAAGAAAATATTGATCCAAACTCCTCTTTCATTGTTTGCGGTGCAAATGAAGATAGGTATCTCTTAAATGTGTCAAACGGTATACATGCGAAGGGTTTGAAGGGAAGAGAGACCGTGAATTGTTATTCAATTCTAAAAATATTTGATAAGCAATCCCCCAAAGTCAAAATACTATAAATTATTTATAATATACTCCATCCATCTCAAATTAAAAGTCCACTTTGAAAAATGTGACTCAAAATGATATAATCAATCTTCTATGATCTCTATATTGTCTTATGTGTTGATTGTGGTTGATTGATCTCAACATCTTCACTTCTTATAGTTATATGGATAATGGTTAAACAATGGTACTTAATTGATATATTTGCATTTGATTTGATTATTCATGCTTACATTTGATGGGTTGTGCTAGAACATTAGAGTAGAAGTAGGTATGTAGACAATTCATGCTTAAATTTGATGAATTATGCTTGTTGATGTAATTTGCGTATTCTCTTGACCATGATTGTGTGCTTATAGCCACGATTCTTAATTGCAGAAGTATTTTTTTCCCAATTTGATTGTAATGGTATGATTACAAGGCTTAGAGGTGGATTCCATGACCTAAGTTTCTTTTTTCCCAATATGTTCATTCCATTATCCATTTATCATTTCTTTTATTTGCATTTGTTTAGTTTGTTTAGTTTACTTAGGATTATAAGCAAACATCTTTTCTATTGAATCATTTGTTCACTAATTGTAAATTGAATCAATGTTAGTTCCTGTGGACGATCCCTACTCACTATACTATATAGTAGTAGTGGTTTTATAAATGTAAAATTGACTTTCAAAACTGCATTCATATTCGTCTTTGATGAATACGTGTCAATTTTTGGTGTCGTTGCCAGGAACTACGATTTAATTGATTCAATTTAACATTAGTGATAATTTGATGGTTAGTTTAGGATTTTTATTTATCTTTTATTTCTTATTTATTTTTGTGCAATTCTAGGTACTTGATCGAGAAAGGAGCAAGCTTGGGATCATTGCTTTACTTAGGACCTTTGTGAGCCTATCTTGAAATCTTGAACTTATAATTGTGCACTTTCTAGTTTAGTTTTGTTTCTATTTTAGATGGTCCTTGTCGAGGCTATCATTGCTTTTTTTTTTTTTTTTTTCTTGTTCAAGTATCGGTTCTTGTCGTGGCCATTTAGTTTTCTATTTCATTATGTTTGATTTGAGGAGGACGGAATCATAATATGTGGAGAAATTGTTCTTATTGTTGTTGTGGTTGTTGTTACTTTGATGTGCTTTATTGTGGTGTATGCTTGGTTGAAGGTCAATCACTTTCTTATTCTAATGGTGGACAATAATAACATGCATCAACCACGTCATAAACAACATTCTTTCCCTAATCCTCCACTTTTTTAGATTTTGTAGGTTTTCATTGTCATCCTTTTTATTTTGTTGCTTTTTGTTATTTTTGTTTTCAGTTTCTTCTCTTCTCTTCTCTTCTCTTTTCTTTTCTTTTCTTTTTCCTTTTACATTTAGTTATGTTTTCATGCTTTCATTTTGGTTTATTTCTTTGAAAAAATTTCAAAAAGTTAATAAAAATAGTTTCTAGGTTGAGTTTGGCCTTCATTTCAGGATTTCATCATTTTCTAGCACAATGCGAAGGATCGCATTTCCCCTCGCGATCTATCACGGCTCAACAGTTAAATTTTTTTCAAAGGTTCAAAAATCCAAACCTCTGTGCGATCGTTCACATGCATTGTTCGCGTGTGTGTGATCGATCAGAGGTTGGCTCACCATCATTTTTAAGTGTAATTTCATTCTACTCACAAGAGGGCATTATAATTTTTTTTTTTTTTTTTTTTTTTTTTCAAACAACAAAGAGTATTTGCACCAAATTAAAAATAGAAGGTTGTTTTATAACTGCACAGTACCAATGGTGGCCAATTAACTGCACATTACCAATAGTGACTATTTATATCAAATACAATGAAGTGGAGGGCTCCACTTCCTTATTTGTCACATAATTGACCATAACAAATCGCGTACTTAGTGCATTTGCTATATTCAAGAAAAAATATCCTCACTGTAAATAATAATTTACTATGGGGCTTAATGGATTTCCTTTCCCTTTTTTTTTTTATAGATAGGAAAATCATAATTTTCTTGGAAAAAATTTTATTAGATACATCAAGAAATTTTATATTAAGTTCACCTAGGGTCCGTTTGGTTAGCTAGAAATTGATGATAGAAAGTAAAAGAAAGGAAAGTGAAGTGAAAGAAAAAAAAATTAGTTTTCTATTATGCATTTGGTTAGCAAGAATTTTTTTGAAGAAACTTGTGAGAAAATGTTGTTTAATTAGTTTGGATAGCAAGAAAATGAAAGAAAAATGATTTTATATGTCAAAATTACCCTTATGAATTTAATAGTAAAATAATAATAATATATACAATTAAATAATAATAATATTAGTAAAATAATATATAAAATTAAATTACCCTTATGAATTTAATAATAATAATAATAGTGATAAAATAATATATATAATTGGATTTATAAATAAATATATATGTCTAGATATGTATGTGTCTTTTTTTTTTTTTCTTTTTTTTTTTGGAAGTTTTCATTTTATATTAGGACTCTGCTATTAGATTAGTTTACTTTGTTTTGTAGGTGTAGCGAAGAATTTTAATTTCAAGAGCAAAAAAATTGTAATCAATTTAGGAGTATCAATTTGTGTAAGAAAACTTTCCTTTTGTGACTATTAAAAAACAAAAAGAAACATTTTACACAAGGGTATAAGAAAAAATTAATATATAATGATATAACTTTCACACGAAACTAAAATTTTCGCGTGTTTTATAGAGGAAACATTTTGAGGAAAATCAACCAATTGCGAGAATATTACTTTCCTGAAAATTTTCATTTTCATGCTAACCAAACGGCTAAAAATCTTTAAAAAATTTTGTTTCTTTTCCTTTCTCGCTAATTCACGCTAACCAAACTAACCCTAGAGTTTATCCATCGGAATATTATTGTCAAAATTGATTTTTATTTTATCTTAAATTATTGTTCCACTTGATTTATACACTAGAATTTTTAAAATAAAATTGAGCAACTAGAAATAAAGGAAATTAACAAACTATTATAATTTTTGTAATTCAGTGAAAGTTGATGAAATTAATCTTAGCTGCTGTTTGATAAAACTAAAAATTAAGCAATGAAAATTTTAGTACTGAATTTTAAGCGCTGGAATTTTAAAGTGCTGAATGTATTAATTTGAAAATCTAGCTGTTTAATTATGTTTTAATTTTAAACACGGAACCCATTAAGATTATTTGTTAAATACAAAAATTGAAGTCTGAAAATTATACAGATTACATTTTTGCCCTCAATATCTGGTACTCATAACAATTTTATATTTAGAATATAAAAATATTAATAAAATAATCACATTCAATAAATAAAATATATTAATTTAACAATGAATGTTAATGTTAAATCTAATCAATAAAAAATATCAATTCAAACAGAAATAATTAAAAATATTCAAAAAGTACTCATTAATATAATTATAAACGTGAGTGTCTCAGAACGGTTAAA